CAGGAGGAAATCCCACACAAAATATCCCAAATTTCCTCACACTACCCACAATATATAGGTAGCTGAGTGGAAGAATAAACTTCACCCGATGAGTGAAACTTCTATCTGAGGAGTCGTTGCTCGAGGAGCCAGTCAACACGTGTGACCGCGTGATGTGGATCCTGTGATTGAAGGATGAGCGGCGCTATATCCTGTCTAAGTGCGAGTTAATCACACTGCTGATGAGCCACTCGTGGCCGAACGGTCAAGTGTTCAAGCTACTAGCCGGGAGGTCGCGTGTTCGAGAGTCTGCGGAGTTTCGTGAGATGCGCACTGCTGATGATTCCCAATAAGGATGAAACAGCTGTACAGTGCTTCTCGGCTTTTCGGCATAGATTGGCTTCACTTACAGGACGGAATCTCCACAAAAGTCCCAAATCTCCTCACACTACCAACAATAGATGTTCTCTTACTAAACTCGTTTTTTGGAATGTAATGTGCATGTAGTTACCAGCGTCTGTAAATTTCAGGTTCTAAGGTCAAAGCGATAATATTTTTTTCACTTTCACTTATCTATTATATCCTGCTCTCTTTAAGCTAGTCGTCGTTATGCCGATTTCATTTTGTTTGATAGCGCAGTTTTAATCTTCTCCAGACATTTTGATAGCTTTAATTGATTGCGCGTAAGCCCACTTTCGCAGGTTCACATTACTTCCATACACAATAAAACCCAAGACGAGCCATGTCCTTGATATGATGCTCGAGAGACCACATAATGATGGGGAGACTTACTCATACCGTCAAATTCGGTTCTTTGCCTGTAAGCTGATTTATTCACCTTAGTCGGTACTGAATTCTCTACCTAATCAATACTTTATACTTTCACTAGTGAACTACACTTCTTTTTCATAATTAGCCTCGGCGTACATGCCATTTTGAAGAGGGAAGTTGGCCACATCAAACTTTATCCCTTCAAATTGTGGATCTTCACCATAGAGTAGGTATTGTGCAGTTACGTGTAAGCCTTTTAGCACGAAAGTTGATGCAATGAATTCTAGATAAAACGAATCAGTCATTCAAGTCGGACATTTACGCACCACGTAGCTGACAGCCTATAGTCCAATGTGTGGCTCGTAGCTTTTGATCAACTTGTTCTTCCATAACATGTATATCATTACGAGTTCTTGGAAGCGCTCTTTTCCATTCTAAGCGCTCGCTGCTGCAAAATTAAGCGAACAGTGTACTGCAGAAATAGAATGCTTTTATGTGCATTGGGCGTCATATGATTCGTCTAATAACGCCAGGACCAGTCGGTCATTATCTAATATCGATAAAAGTTGGCTAAGAAGATCAGTTCATTCAGATCTTTGTGGAACATACATACTCCTGAGATGAAGAAGAAAATGGTAGGCTGGTAAAAGTCACAGGGCATTAGTTATTCAGACTGGGTGGAGCACATTCCGGCCTAGTGATGAAAGGCACATTTTTCGATGTGATTCGGCCTGTTATTAACCATGTCACTGACACCGCTTCGAAGCAGAACGTCAGAAAAAACCCATCAATTTTTTTCGAAATTATTTCAATGGATTTTATTTCTGGAGATGACGTAGAAATTAATATCTGGTCACAATATTTTATCCCTTTACAGACCCATATTTAGGCGATACCTTGATGCAAGAGCCAGTTTTTGTTGTTATTGGTCGATGTTTCTCATCAACAGTGCTTGCCATACCAGGATTTAAGTTGAACAAGCAGTAAGAATAAAATGGTTTCTAGAATTTTGGATGCAGAAGAATGGTTACTGAGCAGGAATGAGGAGTCCCAGGGTTTCTGTCACCGCATTGGTCAATTATCTCCTGATTTAGATTGATTCTGCTTGTTTTGATCGTTTCGGATTGTCAAGCAGTGAGAAAGAGATTAAGAACTTGAAGAAACACCGATGAAAATTCTTTGACGACCTACCTGATAAGTACCAAGAAGGGTGAAATCCGTCGTGGGCTGTCGAAAGGCTTTTAGCAATTTTGTGAGTAGTTTATAACCTCTATAATGTGTATCGCGATACCTCGAATATCGTGGCAACTGAAAATGAGGTGGTCTGATGCACCACATTTAGTTACTCAAAAAATCATAAAGAACAAGAGCTGCTGGGCTTCAGGCGAGTCTCTCATCAAAGCCGAATTGGTATGCCAACTAGGGTATTTCTGTATTTTCATGCAATTTAGGTTCAAGTAGAGCATGAGGTTGACGGAAACTCGGGGTATGCGCCTACTTGACGAGACCCAAGAAGGGCGAATCATCTTGTGGACTGCTGAAGGGTTCTCCGAAACCGAAACACTAGCTTAATATGTCTATAGACATGCTTGTTTTTTGAAACAAAATTTCCAAGCGATCTCTACTCGTGTCGGAATACCGCATACCTTAAACTCCAACTACCCACAATATTTAAGTAGTCAGCTGAATAAGTTAGGTGGGCAGAAAATTCAACTGGCGACAGTTGTCGTGTTTATCATTTCGGCGAGTTTCTTTAGTGTCAAATCTACATCGGGATTTCGTATTTGCACCAGTTATGCATGCTGAGCCACTATTTCTCCGTTGTTGAGCTACGAACACCTGTAACTTTGTACCCTTGACTTTCGTCCGTTTGTTGATTTAACGGGACGCACAACAGAACTTCCGGGAAATAAATGTTCAACCAGACGATTGTTTTTGTTTTTGTTTTCGTTGTCGTTGTTGATGATGATAATGATGTAATACAGCGCCCTAATGTTCGAGTGTGGCAAGCTCTGTGCTTCGCGGCAGAGATGTTTCGGTAAGGTAATCGGAGCATTGTCGTAAGTAAATTGTGTTGTCACACAGTTACAAAACAAAAATCTACCTTCCATTAAGGCACAATAGACCTTTTTGTGACAGGGAACAAGCGTGATAGAACTTTTTGTCCGCCACTCTTTATTTCTCATTCTAACCTCTTCGGGTGACGTCATGAAGACTTTCACAATTACCAACACCCAAGTTTCACGCTTTACCGTACAAACAATATTTAAGTATTACTTCGGACTGAAAAACTCATCCTGCCGTTGCCTTTGTGTTTTCACGTATAAGTGGGTTTAATTCACCAATGGCATTGGATCTTGTGATTGGAAATATTTGGTGACAATGAAAATCAGCCGCATAAACACGACGTCGTCGTACAAAACACTTCTAAAACATGGAGTAAGAGTTTGCCATTTTTGGAATTCGAAACACCGAGAACACTGTGGTTTCGGGGAAATCGCCTTCAGTTGTCAACGACTGACCAACTACCTAACAGAAGCAACATCCAAAAGAGAATGCTCATGAGATTCACATTCTTCTCTGCTGAGAAAAGTACAGGGGGGACCACCCGAAGGGAACGATTTCTTGAAGTAAAAAAGCAGGACGTCGATTCTGTTAAATGTCAAAATCTTTCATTTAAACAGCAGAAAGGTTGGCAATGACATGGTTTATCTCAAATCTTACCAGGTTATTGAATTACCAAGACCAGATACCTTCAATAATTAGGTTGAACCACATGACATATATTCAAAAACAGCAAAATAAAAACATTGTTGATACGTGCTCAGATCATCAATGAGCTGCGAAATGATATCGCGAAATAAACGAGGAGTGTGCGTGCCTATGTGACTTTAAGGTGCATGAGGTCACGCAAAATGATATTTGTAACTGTGATTAATTGGCGACTCGTTAATAAGCATGCGTTTGAGTTCATTATTGTACGTCAATAACACTAACGGATGCCGGTCCATAAGTAAAATACAGAGTCCAGGCTGGTGAATTTCTGTGCTAGTAGCTCCTGCATTGACG